CAGCCCTCCCTGCCCCCCTCCCGGCAGGAGCGGGCGTCGAGGCCTCGCCAGGTCTGCGGCCAGGCCACCATTTGGGCCCAGCCAGCAGGGAGCCCTCTCCGCAGGCAAACGGCCACCTTCCACAAAGTCTGGCTCACAGAGAGAGACCCCATCAGGGCCTCCACCCATCCTTATTCCTACGGACGCTTTAAAAATGAAGAACAGCATCGTGGAAACACTCCCTCTGCCCCACGGGGAAGGAGAGGAGCTCGGTGACCACGTGCACACGTTCTTTCGAAGCGAGGAAGCCAAGTTTCCCCAGGCACGGAGGAGCCCTGCTTCCCACCCCAAAGCTAACTCGGGCTCGGAAACTGGAAAATGAAACCCACGATTGCTGCCCATTTCTTGAAAAGCCCAGGATGGGAGCCGGGCGGAGCGGGGGACGCTGTGCGCTGACATGGCACACAACCGGCAGCCATAAAGAGATGCTGGGGAGGGATGCAGTTGGGGACCTGCGCGGCCGCTTTAATGGATGCCGTGTCCCCTCTCCACAAAAAGTCCTTTGATGAACCGAAAGCTCTCTGACAATGCCTGCAGATCGTATTAACAAAACTTTTCACACAGGTTCAAGAATTTAAAAAAAAACCCAAACAAAACGCAAACCAAAACAAAACCCCACACACAGCACTCACGCTTGTTCCCTGAAACTGATCTACCCACGTTGAAAACCGGAGGCCAGCAAAAAGACCCGCTGCAATCTGGAAGCGAATCCTTTTGAAGGGATAAAAACAAAAGCTTTTCTTCCCCTCCTTTCTGTTTCAGGATTTTTTAAGGACTTTCTCAGTCCATTGGGGTGTCCTCCCCCAGGCCGGACTCCTCCAGCTGAAGAAGCCCCTGACACTCTGTAATCCAAAAATTATTCTCAGCGCACGTTTATCGAAAAAGCCATCCTTTGGGGAAGGCTGGTTTAAACCACATCAGCACAGCAAGCAGCGTTTGCTGCATTAAAAAGGCAAGTGGAAAACTGACTAATTTTTTTTCTAAAATCAAAGCTGGCTACGTCGCTACAATTTGGAGTAGCAAAGCTAAATTAAGAGACAGTATTTTTTAACCAGATGACACAGAATGCCCAAGAAGTTTGGAACATGTAATGCGTCGCCACAAAAATAACTGGAAAGGATGATACAAAACACAGTATGTTTTGTCAGTCTCCAATTTAGGAAGAAAATGGCATTTTGTGTGGACCAAGGCTCTAGGAACAGTTTAAGCATCTGCCAAGAAAAACATATTGCCCATGTGAATTAAAATAAACAAAATCAGACCAACAGAAATACAGTTATGTTTATTTCATTAGCAGTCTTATAATACCATATTTAAAAATAAAACCTGCCCACTGTACCTCCAAATGTAGACTGGCAACTTCTGAAAGCAAATGTCAGGAAGCCACGCTTAACTGCGTATGAATTGAAAAAGATCGCTTTTTCTCACTGTATCTAAATGAGCCAGGTAGCTCATCATGTTTTATTACGAATAATAGTTGTGCTAATGCTTATGGCTTATTACTAAAACCATATGTAATTAACAAATTCTTCAAATAGCTGAACAGTTTGCTCACATACTATTTCTACAATACAGTAATTTATGTATCTCATATTGCACTCTGAAATAGCATGATACTTGTTTTTCTTAAACAGAGCATCAGGAGAAGCTACATGCATCAAACAGTGGGTATTTTCTAATTTAGATCAGGACTAACCATAATTATTGTGCTAACTAATAGCCCTCTACTTCAAATGTAATGGAACTCTAAGTATTGCCACATATTTTAAATGCCTACCCAGCTCCCAAAGAGGTGCAAGTAGGCAAGAACTGCCCAGTATCTTCCACTTTATTGGTGCAGAGAAATCGTGATTTCACATCACCACTTTGATCTGTTTTCTCTCAGACTGTGATGGCAGAACTTCACAATAAACATATTCTTAGCCACAAGTGAAATAAAAAGGAGAAGTTCAAGTCAGAAATCTATTTCCTCTGGTGTTACTGTATATTTGTCAGTGTGACATAGCACATTTGAAACCCATAATCATAAAAGAAAAATTTACAGCTAAGGTTTAGGGTCTACATCTGTTTCTCTGGTTTTTGTACTGCAATTACCCACTGGACAATTCAGAAAGCAGCTCTATGAATCATGTACTGCACACGTGTTTGTGCTGGTCACTTTTTCGTTAGTACAAGAGGCTGAGGATGCCATAATACGCTTCACCAAGAGAGAGAGCGCATTAACTAGAATTAGGATGAGTGCACTGGGCTCTCTAATAAAAATTACTTTACTAGAAGCAACAGAGTACTCCTGGAATATTTCAGGTATATTTATAGGATGGAAAAATTAAGAAGTACATGCAAAAATTCTCCAAAACATACTGCAGGGGAAGCGGACCTTTTTTTTTCCCCCCCCATGCATTTTACTATTAATCAAATGTAGCACTCTCTTGAAACAGTTTTGACAGCAGAGTAAATGGTTACTAGTGAATGATATGTGTGTTTAAGCAGTGAAAGCAGAGACAAAGTGATGTTTTCTTCTACTCCCTAGGCAAGAGCTGACACTAAGCTTGCTGCCTCAGCTTTGATACTCACAGATTCCTTTGTGTCAGTTGCTGGGAGAATCACTGGCAGTTCACTAACCCTGCCTCACACACAGGGGCTTTGATTTTTACCTCTTCATTGAGAATAGATGTTAATATGAAACAGTACTTGTCTGCCTTGAAGGGGTTTTTTCCTACCCCCCCCCAATGGTGATACAGGGTTTCAAATCTGAAAACCTGAATCCCCCTTCACTACATGTGTTTTTTTAGTATTGTAGGATGTTTTCCTCGTGTCTTAAGCACATGAATGATGTCAAAAGATTCTGGGGAAGAAAACCACTGGGTCATAAGAGAATGGCTGAATATTTAAAACTCCACGGAGTCCTGAGGAAATGGGTATCAATCCTAAGCAAGAATGGCCCTGAAGAAAATAAACCAGTAAAATGACTGTCACGAAATGGGACAAATGGCATGGAAAAACATGAGGTACAGTGAAATTAAGGCAAAAAGTGGGTTTTTTTTCCTGACTGCTATATGCTACTATGCACAGCTCGCAATGACTGAAGCAGGAATTTGCACGTAACAGGAAGAATTACTTCAGGCCTGAAATATAACAGCAACTGGTGAACGACTATTCAGTGCAGAGCAGTATTTTATTTTAGATGGGAAAAGTAGCGTTAGTAAGCCCCAGACCCAGAACTTGGGCATGCAACCAATCTGCGAGTCACTTACCGATAAAGGCTTTTTGTCTGTTTTAATCAGTGGATACGTATTTGTAAAGATGTCTTTAAAGCTGATTGCTCAACTTAAATACTACAAAAACAATTAATCTCCACAAATTTAAGCACACGACCACGTTTCTTAGAATCTGTACTGCGTCTTACACACTCCTTTGGCCTGGAGCCAGGGGAAAAGAACTGCCCTATACGACAAAACTGGAAGTGCATCTGGTTCAGCAACCCATTTCTAAAAGTGACTGCTACTAGATCTTTCTAAGGAAAATACAGGAATCCCTAACAATTGGCAAAGTATAACTCACACACAGGTCCTCTAATAGCCTGTTCTCTAACAGCAAATCACTTAAGTGTTAAAACATGAGATTTAATATCCTTTCCAAATTTGTTTTTGGTAATAGCCCTGATATTCTAGATATTCATATATAGTGAATGTCTTTTTGGATTGTGATAAACTTGTAGCTCCGTGACACAGAAAGAGATAGTAAGTTATTGGGCCTTGAGACAAAGAAGGATAAATATTTTCTTAATACACCATAAAACTCATCCACGTTGCAAATAAAGGAAAACAGAGGCCAAACCACACCTCTCTGAGGCCCCAGAGGCTCACTGCTGTAGGCTCCAGAAAGGTTGGCAAAGAGGCAATGACATCATGTGCCTAAAGAGGGGATGACATGCTTTTTTGAAGGATACAAAAAGAAAAAGCATTATTACATTAAAAGTTGGCTACATACTGAATCTACACTTACTGTGTAGGAGGATTCTGCAGTGCAAACACCACTGCTAAATGGTTGCCAGAAAAAAATACAAGTGAGGGGGAAAAAAAAGGTGGTTTCATTTTGTTTTCTTTTTAAATGACCAGAAACTGCTGTTTCAAGGTTTAGCCAAGAAAGAGATTTTTACTGCTAGCCTATAAATCCCTCAAAACATTGAGTTATAATGGAAATGCTGAGGTAACTGGAGTGCCATGCATGGCACTGACGCATTGCATTATATAATCCAGGGAGAATGAGGACTGGGAGATCTATAAAACGTAAGTAGAAGCAAGATGTAGGAAAGAGCAGAAGAGCAAGTAGAAATATTGAATATTAAACTGCAGAGAATACTACTTCTAACAATAAAGTTTCCTATATGCTGAATATGTTCCCATGGTCGGCTGAAGGCAAAAGAGCACAGAGCTCTATTAAAAATAAAATAGAGATTCCAAAAGGCTATTTGAGTGACTGTTTTGTTTCTGCCTTTTTTCAGGGAGGGCAAAAAGAAGAAAGTCACCTAAGAAAAGGAGAGTATTTCCTGATGTTCTGATATCCTGAAAGGTGTCTCACAATGTGTAAATAAATAACATTAGAAAATGCAGAATAAATGGAATTCCAAACACAGACAACTTACAACCCTAGCTGTAACCAGAACACAACCTGGGACAACAGTATTTCTAGAGGTCCACTAATGGCAGCTTAAACTCTTAGCGAAAAGTTAGCCTTAGTGACTTTCGTCCAACAGAAGACCAAAGTTACCGAGCAACAACTGGATCTACAGCTTAGCGCAGACATGCACCCTAACAAAGACTAAACCCTGCTTCAGCCCGATTTAACTTAAGATGGACTTCAGCGGCATTTCGGGCTCGTGCTCCCGCACTGCTGCAGGGACGACCCGTACAGAGGAACCCCAGGGGCCGGCGACAGCCGAACCACACTCGCGCGGAGCTCTGGTCACATAATGCCTGATGCAGACTGGATTGCATCATGCCATCACTGTAACCTGCAATAGATCCACGGCTCGGCAGCTTGACATATGTACTCATGATAATCCAATTTCTGCTTAGCTAGTTCCCAAACTGACACCTAACACTGAATGAACAGTTCAACAGCCAATTCGTGGGCATCTTAGACAGTAAAATGAAGAAGAGACTGGAAAATGTGCTGGCATAGCTACCTGGCTAGCAGAGGTAATGACAGCAAAGATAATGTGGTGACACCACCTGAAATCTGCTGGTAATGATGGTCATCGTGCCAACACCCCTACTCTGTCTGTCGCCCTAACACACTGTACAATCACACCTTTGTTTTATTGTGCAGATGTGCTTTCTGTTTGGGCACAGTCTGGGGAACAGCCTGCATGAATTTTTCCTGTGAATGAGGTACGATTACCCAGAAACAGGTATTTATTTGACAAACTGGCATCCCTTTTATTTTGTAGGATGTGTGCCATCGATACTGTGTGAAATAACTGAGGGCACACATCCTCTCAGGGATATTGTTACCACTGTAACTTTATT